TCAGAGTGGGGAAAAGTGACTCCTCGAGTCCGAAATTGGCAATTGCAGGAGCAGCCTGCGGGTGTGACCTCTGCATCCCCCCGCCGATGCCCGGCCTGACGGCGCAGCTGGTCCTTTTCTGTCACAGGGTGTCAGCATGTGTGATGCAAGCCGACCCTCGTCTCTCCGGTCGTCACCATTCAGCTCCCTATCCAAAATCTGAAAGCGAGCCGGGAAGGCGAAGGAGCGATCAGTTGCTTCTTCGCCTGTGTGTTTTAATCGTACAGAATAACAGCAAAGGACTTGTTATTCTACCAGGCATCCCGTGATTCTTAATAAGCTTGCCTGAAACAGACGATATATCCTGAAATCCTAGGGATAATTTGACGAGGGATCTACATTAGCTCTCCGGTCTATATAGTATTTTTCTTGAAATTCCCACTCTCAGAATAGGAACATGGATTCCAGTGCAGCTGCCCAATTTTTGGCTTACTCTCTATTTTCACTAACAATGTTGCCTTTGTGGTCTTGAAATGTGATGGATCTCCATCCCTCTGAAAGCCTGTGAGCAACTGCCACATTTTTGGAGGGCAGCCATATTATTCTTTGGGAGGGGTCACAACATCTGGAGGACAGCAGCCCCTTTTCCAACTAATACACTTTATTATATGTTCTTAGTCAAAAAATTGCTAGTAAACCGAGGCTTAAGATACAGAAGGATCTTGACAGACTTGAACATTGGGCGCTATCTAACAAAATGAAATTCAATGGTGAAAAAGGTACATTTAGGCAAGAAAAAAACAAATGAACAGGTATAGTATAGGTGGTACCTTGCTCAATAGTAGTAACTGTGAGAAGGATCTCGAAGTCCTAGTGGACAATTACTTAAATATGAGCCAGCAGTGTGCGGTAGCTGCCAAAAAAGCCAACACAGTGCTAGGCTGCATTAACAGAAGGTTAGAATCAAGATCATGTGAAGTGTTAATACCACTTTATAATGCCTTGGTAAGGCTACACATGGAATACTGCATCCAGTTTTGGTCACCACAATGTAAAAAAGATGTTGAGACTCTAGAAAAAGTGCAGAGAAGAGCAACAAAGATAATTAGGGACTGGAACGGTGGCCAGAATTGGGTATGTCTAGTTTAATGAAGAGAAGGAGGGGTGACATGATAGCAGTATTCCAATATCTCAGGGGTTGCCACAAAGAAGAGGGAGTCAAGCTATTCTCCAAAGCACCTGAAGGCAGGACAAAAAGCAATGGATGGAAACCAACCAAAGACAGAAGGAACCTAGAACTAAGGAGAAATTTCCTGACAGTTAGAAGAATTAATCAGTGGAACAACCTGCTTCCATAAGCCGTGAATGCTCCAACACTGGAAGTTTTTAAGAGGCTGGACAGCCATTTGTCAGAAATGGTTAAGGGTTTCCTGCCTGAGCAGGGGGTTGGACTAGATGACCTCCAAGGTTCCTTCCAACAACAACATCATCATTATTATTATTAACTCCTGTTTTTTGCCATGCTGGTTGGGGGATGATGGAAGCTGAAACTGAATACATTCACAAAACAGATCAAGGAAGACTTCTACAATACACATTTTAAAGAAAAGAGTATGACACTCAGACAAAGCATTCTGTACACAACTGAAGACAGGATCCAATTTGGGTCGGTCACTGGGAGCAGAGGTTTTGTCTTCTACGTTTTCGGAAAGTCTCTGGCTAGAGAGAAGTTCCCTGTGGAATGGGCTCCAGCATGAGTCCGAAAGCTCCGAAGACAAAACCTCTGCTCCCAGTGACCGACCCAGATTGGATCCTGCAACATTATCTTGGGACACATATATTTGCCTTCATTCACAACTGAAAACAATTTGTTTCAAAATGGATTTAATTATTCTTGTTAGAAATGAAAAACAATCTGAACGCATCTAAACACCTGTACAATAAAGTCACATCTTCAGAAATATCAGCAACGTGTATCTTCATCACACTTGGCATCTTTTTTTATTTTTTGTTTTATTGTAATTTCTTTGTTTGAATCTTGTGAACTGCTCAGAATCATTGAGAGTTGAATGGCATAAAGTTTAATAAAGTATCTATCCAGGAAACAAGTCTTATGAGCTGCTATATAGAAAAGGAATAATGTATATTCTGCAATGTTATAGTTCTGCAATGTTATAGTACTGTTCCATCATTATTCTGTCTGTACTATAATAGAGTTTATTATACATCTTCAATGTACAGCATAAAACAAAATATTTCAATGTCTTATTTAATTGCTACTGATCAGAGGAATGTTGAATTTGAATGTTTTATTATACACTATACTTACATACTTCTAATATGACTTCAAACTATATCCTTTATTTTAATGTTTTTCTTTAACTGATATGCTGTTGCTTTGGTCCTCTTCTACCAATTTTCTACTTAGATTTTCTCTTCTGATTTCAGGAGAATAGAAGAGGGTTTATATCATAAGAACTGAAATCAAAATGCAGCATTCTGATGGATAATGTGCAATATAATGTGAAACTCTATATTATGAAGGTTTGTTTATTATGGAATTTCCTTCAGACAGAAGTATAATTGTGCTATGATGTACCTTAGTTCTTTTTTAAGCTAAGTATAGACATTATAATCCATCCCTCAAAAAATATCACAGAAGAAAATGAAAATTTAATGAAGAGAAGGACGAGGGGGGACATGATAGCAGTGTCCCAATATCTCAGGGGTTGCCACAAAGAAGAGGGAGTCAAGCTATTCTCCAAAGCATCTGAAGGCAAGACAAGAAGCAATGAATGGAAATTAACCAAAGAGAGAAGCAACCTAGAACTGAGGAGAAACTTCCTAACAGTGAGGATAATTAATCAGTGGAACAACCTGCCTCCAGAAGCTGTGAATGCAACAACACTGGAAGTTTTAAAGAAGAGACTGGAGAGCCATTTGTCTGATATGGTATAGGGCAGGCATGTCAAACTGGTGATGTCATGTGACGTCGCACAACGTATCCCAACTTTTCCCCATTGCCAGCAATGGGATGGGCGTGGTTTCGTGGTGATGCATCTGGTCCGCAGGCTGGCAGTTTGACATGCCTGGTATAGGGTATTCTGCCTGAGCAGGGGGTTGGACTATATGACCTCCAAGGTCCCTTCTAACTTTTTTATTATTATTATTATTATTATTATTATTATTATTATTATTATTATTATTATTATTATTAATTATTATAACATATCCTCATCATGGAGTTTGGAAACCTTGAGTCTATAGCATTCAAATGAAAGAATTTTGCTATTGTTCATTAGTTTGTTAGGATATTTATATTAATGAAAAATCAAAATGACACTAATGATAAAGGCCTAACAATAAGCATCTAGCAACACCATTTTTCTCTTACACTTTGTCATTTTAAAAGACAACCATTTGTAATATATTCTTCCTTAACTCTGCACTTTCCAAATGCATTGGACAACTGCCCTTATCCCAATAGCATAGTCATATAATTAAATACATTATAATTTAATCAAAAGCAATCTTATATACTAAGAAACAATAGCTATATCTTATTTATTCAAAAAAATACACATGTATTGTCCTCTTCCAATGACTTCAATTCAGTTAGATCCATGTTTCAGGAAAATATTGCATTTAACTGAGAATACCAGAGGATTGATTGGATTCTTATACCCACCATAATGACAGACTTCACAGTTCTGAAACCAAACAGCAAAGTTTAAATATTGTTCATGCTGAATCATGTGTAAATGTAATTTTGGTAATGTAGTGTATATGATGCTCATTTAAAGCATTTTATACTTAAAAATGCATTTGAGGTTACTAATAAAAAAAACAAAAGAAGCCAAATTAATTAAACTTTTAAATAAAGTTAGTGACCAGTTATGAACATCCACCAGAAGCCAAACTTGTAAATTTGCACCTTATTTTGCTTTATTTTTGTATTTTGGGGGAATGAATTTGGACTTGAGGTACTTCCAAATGAAACAAGAGCTTACAGAAATTTATCATTTTTATTTTCAAATCATGCCTATGGGGCTGAGAAATGTTCTAGGCAATAAAAGCTATGCCACATACTATGTGGCAGGCATGTCAACTTCTACCTTATTTATTTATAATTACAGTAATATTTTAAAAATTAAAAGTCAATCGGAAAAGGGAGGCCTGTAGGCACACTGCCTCAAGCGTGTACAAGCACATTGGTATCACAGGACAGCCCATGGCCTACCAGTGAATTAGCTGCATTTAAAAGAAACCTGTATATAACAGATTCAGAAAGACTATATGCAAATATGATATTTTTTACTTCGGGATTCTTTTATGATGTTAAGCACTGAGCTATGATAAAGACGGGTCACCTTCCTTTGTTTTTCCATGCTAATCCAGCATTTTACCTCTCATTGAAGAATTTGGATAAGAATGATTGGAGTGACGACCTATATCATTTATATTATATTTTACATAAATTTATATATGATCTCCCCTCTCACTTTTAACATCCTCTAGAAAGTAGGAGAACAGAATCTGTCCCTAAAGTCCGAACAAATCGAAGAAAACCAGAGAGCCAGAAACCATATCGCCAACCTAGCCCAGGCAGTGAACTTGCAGCTCCTCGAGCCTGGAAGATCGGAGGAACCGAAGGATCCGTTATTTGAGGAGGTAAGTTGGTCGTGCGAAGCCGGACGAGTGCAACAAGTCCGGATGAGGATACTTCGCGCGTGGCTCAAACGCAAACTCGCGGAACAACCGGGGGCTTGCTTAGTGGTGAGCAAAAACACTCTTGGCGATTAGGGAAACGTGCCGGGGTCTGATATCCCGGGGAGGCGAGTCGGCTTCAAGCGGTAGGGCCTGACTGAAGCGACGCCACCGACTCTCAGCCTCGCTCCGTTTCCACCCACCCCTCTTCAGAGGGCGGAGAGAGCCGGGGGCGGGCAAGCGGGGCCTGGAGCCCCTCCCTGTTTCAATCGGGAACCTCCAGGCCGAGAGTTCCGCCTTTCCCTCCGCCCTTTCCCGGTGGCTGCTGCCGCTGCTCTCCCGCCGTCTGCCTGGGTCGCTCCTGTGGCGGCGGTCGCAGCAGGCAGCATGGCGGCGGTGGAAGCCCGGGTGTGCGAGACGGCGGGATGCAGCAGCGAGGCCAAGCTGCAGTGCCCCACCTGCATCAAGCTGGGCATCCAGGGATCCTACTTTTGCTCGCAGGTAAATCGCCGCTGCTCGGGGCGCCCTTTGCCCGCCAACGGGCGGAGCGGCAGAAAGCTTCGGCCGCAGAGGTTCCCCCGACGGGCGCCTGGTCCGAGCGGGGCCCCGGCCCCGGCCGCGCCAGCCCGCCTTCCTGTCGGTTTGGAGACTGGGGTTCCGGGACGCGGGGCTTGCCTGCGCCTGGGGACATGTGGGACGGCTGCTGCCCTTCCAAGGCAGGTGTGACTCAGGCTGGCTGGGCCCGGGCCTGTTTTCTGGCCGCCTGAGCACGTTTTGCTGGGAAGCGAGGAACTGAATTCAGAGGGGCTTCATGGTGTTGCCGAGATTTCTGCATTTCTGCTAGCAGGGTCTGTCTCTCTTTCTCTCTTTCAAGTTTGCCTTCTTCCTTTGGTTGTTGCTAAGGGAGAAAAAGCCTTATCATTCAACCTGAAATTCGATATAGAGCGAAGGACTACAGTGTCCATTCTTCCCAGTGATGTCACTTGTAGTCCCAACACATGCAGCTCGGGTACGGGAAAAGTGATCTAAAGCCCTAAATCTCTCTTACCGTCCCTCTTCCTACCTCACTCCCCACTTTTTATAGGGTTTTCTGCCCTGGAGCTTACATGTCAAAAATGGGAAAATCTAAAGCAAGGGAGCTTCGTTTGCTTTCTCATTAATGTTAGGAATAGGCCCCATAAATGCTGAAGGACAAAGCACTCAAAGCCTGACATTCCCCCCCCCCCCTTTATTGGTTCTGTCTTCAAGATTCACAAGACAGATTTAGAGAAAAAAAACCCAAGGGCTGTGTTCTTCCTGTCTGTCAACAAGTGATTGTTGTTGCACTTTGGATATTTTAGTTTATTGCAGAGGGAATTTTTGCCAAAACATTTCCTCTAAAAGCAGCCTACAGGCTAAGGTTTTGATATTAACTATAACAAGTTTCTGTGTCAAATTTGAAGAAAATCAGGCCTTGGCACCAGAACTATTCTAAATTTTCCAATGCATTAGGAGACCCTGGAATGCAATCATAATTAAGAGTGATTCTGAACATGGGTGGCCTGCGTTGTCTTCATTTAATATCATGGCTTTATTTCCATAGTTCAACTTTTAAAATCAATTGAACTTTCTTTTTTAGGAGAAAAATCTTTCTCCCTTTCCCAAAGTTCTAACATTTCTACCCTCCATGTAGAGCAGGGGTGTCAAACTGCCGGCCCGTGGGCCGGTTGCATTATGCAGAGGCTGCGCCCACCCCAGCTCCCGCAATGCAAAAAAAGTTGTGATACGTCGCAACATGTCACGTGACACGGCTGGTTTGACACCCGTGATGTAGAGTATTCCCGTGATGTAGAGTATTCCTCTGAATCAGCTTCAGCTTTTGGTGACAGTATGGACATACCAATGTAGTTTTACTGAAATTAGTAGAGAAATGATCTGCCATGATTTTTTTCCAGAATGGTTTTTCAATATTTCAGCCTTACTAAGAGTTCTTGGGTGTCCTGTTGGTATAACACCCAGGTACCATGCTCATTTGAAATTAGCCTAAGTCAGCTAGCTGTGCTACCTGAGCTGAATACAGAAATTTGGGGAGCAGTTATAAGGAAGTGTCCTTTTTTTTCCTACTGCGAATCATACTTAAGCACATAGTACTATAAGTCTGACTCTTTTATCCTATTTAAGAATCCTGCTTGCAGTTGGATCTGAATTCATATTTGTGCACACTAGTAAAAGCATAAACCGTAGTTTTACATGTAGTGTAAAACACATGCAATGTCCATTAAGAATGACATGAGTGTGGAAACTCAGGAAAATTTGTATACGTATGTAGTAAATACTTGTTTTAAATCTTACATGGTTTCTGTGGTATTCATACAAATATATGTGTACTAGGTTTTCAAGGAAGAAGCCTTTTGCAATCTTTGATTATAAATACTTTCATTGGCTTCAAGTTAAATGTGGTGGAAGGCCACAAGATTAGACTCTGCTGTCAGGTTTTTAAGGGTTATGATGCGTGAAATCCATTTGATTATTTTTCTTAAGAAATTAATACAAGAAATCAAGATGAAAAAAATTAAAAGGCAGCAACCACCTCTGGGTCATTAACAAAATAATGTATAAAGATGAGAGTTGGGAGAAAAGGAAATGGGAACATCTTTGTGTTAGGTTTTTGCTCTTCTTGCAAATATAGCAATAGTTTTACAAATTATGAACAAAGTCAGGCTTGCTTTTAATAGAACTGGGTTGAGGAAAATATTTGCATAGGAAACCAGGTTGAATCAAGCATTCAGAATATATTTTTGAAGGGTTAAAAAAAGATAGGTGTGTAAATGTTGCACATATGAGGAATTCAGCGGCCCACCTTTTACTGGTGCGGTGGAGCTGCTTTTTGCAGTGACTACTCCAGGCTAAGGTAGGCTCCTGAAAAACAGGATTGTAAGAAGAAACCATCTACATGTTGCCTTAGGGAATGTAGGATTTAGCGATGGTTGGATTTCCTCTCCATGATTTTGCTAAATTTTTGTTTTGGGCTGCATGAAAACTTTATTTTTTAATGGTAGGTTATAACCAGTAGGAGATGTGATGGTGGGTATTGTACTATCTAGAAGTGCTGTGAATGTTATCATTTAGGCTCCAGGAAACTGTTTTCCATTTTAAAATGCCAAAAATTATGTTCTATCCCCATGTAGTCACAACATATATTGCCATAAAAGAGTCAGAGTTGCCTTGAACTGAGAGATGTTTGGGAAATAAGTTTGATAATAATAATAAAAAAGATATGAAAGGGTTCCATGTTTCCAGTCCAAGTCTAAACTAAGATGTTTTTAAAATGCTTTAAAAATATAGGCTTTAAAACATACTACAGATATATAAAAGCAATATTAGTCATATATACTTTCATGTCAAGTGGCTTTTGAGCCTTATCATTAAAAAGAAATACAATTAGTGTTTGAACTGAAGTGCAGTGAGCTGTAAGGAAAACCTATTTTCCTTCATCTTTCTAGAGTGTGTGGTTTCTAACCTGTGGAACTATGTTAGCCATATAAAGTTGATCTGTTTCAATGTATTGCTAAATTTATATAATTTCCCTTTTTAGGAATGTTTTAAAGGAAGCTGGGCTACTCACAAATTGCTACACAAGAAAGCAAGTAAGCAAGTACATTCTTTTGATTTTATCATACTTCCTTTACAATCTATTTTGTTGGTAGTGACATCATATCATCCTAAAATCAATCTGTAATAACTCTGGTTGTTATTGGTATAATAAATCTGGGTTTGTAGTCTGAACTGATGTATATCATACAAGGATTCATAGAGGACTGAATGGTCTTTTGTATAACACACCCAGTCCATGTGTTGCACTGAATGATGCTTTGCTTAATTATGGTTTGTTGAATTTGCTCAATTGGCTGGATTAATGTACACATAGTTGATAATTCAGAGCAGCTGGATTCACAAAACACAATGGGATAATCACACCATATTATGGCTTAGCATGGTGTATAAATCCAGTCTAGATGTCAGGGAAAAATGATTTAAGTTATTATTTTTCTTGATTCCTTTTTATTACTATATAGATTTTCTTCATTTTTTATGGAAAAACATTCATACACATGGAAAGCCACAACTGTAGCTTGCAATGGTACAATCATTAAAGTGATCTAATACTTTAGTCCCTTTCTTAAAATATTTCTGATTGCTTTCTAGACAATTGCTTTCTTACACATTAATAAGTTTCTATGTCTGCATGGGATCTTGGGCTTTAGTTTCCTAAACAGTTGTGATCTTTCACTACTTTAGGAATGGTGTAAGACATGACTTATTTAAAAAATAAGTTCAGAGGAATTGAAAAATAAAGACACAGTATCATTGGAACAGTAGAGTTTTGACAGTGAATCTTGGCATGTACCCATTGAAAATGGGCAGGGCAAGACTAGGCTTGTGCTTTACTACTGACTTGGATTTATTTTTTTTAATAGTTTTTTTTGGCAAAAATGATCTTTATACCTGTCCGAAATGGTGTAGGGTTTCCTGCCTGAGCAGGGGGTTGGACTCGATGACCTCCAAGGTCCCTTCCAACTTTAAAATAATAATAATAATAATAATAATAATAATAATAATAATAATAATAATAGTAGTAGTAGTAGTAGTAGTAATAGTAATAATAATAATAATAATAAAAATAATAAAAATAATAATAAAAAAAAGTATCTGAGTTAGATTGTACAGGAAAAGCAAGCATGCAGGGAAAAAATATAGAGGTCTAAAGAAGAGAATGGAAAGGAGTTCCATCTATCCATATAACTTTTCAATTTCTGATGTTTGATGAAGTTTTTTTGATTAAGATCAGTAATGATTCTGCTTTTGTTTTATAGAAGATGAGAAAGCAAAACGAGAAGTTTCTGCCTGGACTGTAGATGGAGACATAAACACAGATCCCTGGGCTGGTTATCGATATACTGGGAAACTCAGGCCACATTATCCACTGGTAAATAGGTGAAATAACTGAAATGTGTCACTTTGTTCAATTTTTCTGCCAGTCAAACCACAGGCAGGTAATTTTTTCATGATAGTTCTCCCAGAGAACGTGATTGTCCAATTATTTTTTAAAGATGTGTGCACATAAGACAATTTTGATGGTTATTTTACTATAATATATAACAGATAATTTAAAATAACCTACTATTCATTAAAGAGAGAGTTTTATGGAAACTAACATTGTATTATTTGTCTTTCATGAATTGAGTCCACTTCCGTGAAGGCTTATATAAATTTAAGTTTGTTAATCTCTAAAATGCCATAAGATTTTTTTTTCAACAGTAATATGCTATCCCTTTTAGAGACATAATTTCCAATACAGGTAGTCCTTGACTTACAACCAATAATTTAGGAACCATTCAAAATTACAGTGGAAATGAAAAAAGTGACTTAAGACTAGTCCTCGCGCTTACTACTGTCACAGGATCTCCGCAATCATGTGATCAAAATTCGGGCGCTTGGTAACTGGCATATATTTGCAACAACTGCAGTATCCCAGGGTCATGTGATCACCATTTGCAGTCTTCACAGATGACATCTAACAAACAAAGTCAATAACTGTATCATTCGCTTAACAGCTGCTGTGACTCGCTTAACAACTGTGGCAAAAAACTCACTTAACAACCGCCATGCTTAGCAAGAGAAATTCTGGTTCCAATTGTATTCAAAAGTCAAGGACCAACTTTGTAAAGAACAAAGGAAACATTAGTCAAATCTGTTTTAGTGGGTAGTCCATAATATAAGACTTGGTCTTTATTCCACAAATATTTTCTCAGCTTGGAAATGACTGTGCATATAAACAGCAGCTCAGTTTGATAACAAATGAGGCATTTTAAAATATATTTTTAGAAGAGGTCTTCCAACTTCACATAGGCTCTGGAAAAAAGTATTTTAAGGCCATTCTAAATCTTGACAGGTGCAGATAGTATAGTGAGTGACTAATAATATATTAAGTCATGATTAGTTAAACATGGTTTTTGAAATAACCATCGTAATTAGCTTTGAATGTAGCACTAAGCCATAATGTGAATTCATAAAAGAACCAAATTATTATCAGTTCCTGTTATGTGTGAACTAACATGCAGAGCTGACTGACAAATAATTTAGTTCCTGCCCTGATAAAACCTACTAACAGAATGTTCAAGGTTTTTTGCTAGGAGATAAACTCACATACAATAGTATCTCAGTCTTTGAAGAAACACTAACTTTAAAAAATAATTTTCTGTTATCATGGGTGCAGTAGTTGACTATGGTGGTAATGTAGATGGTGATTGCAGAATCAAAAAGGAATGAAGATAGAATAACTTCTATTCCACATATTAGACCAGTATCTCCCTCCTTCATTACCCAAATCATTTACTAGAAAATCCTTTTTACCATTTATCAGAAAGTTCTTATATACTGTAAGTGTCTCTGTTGTAATTAGGTAATGATTCATATGAAGAAGCCAAAGAAAAACTTTTACCCAGTTCTGGGCAATTTACCCAGGTTTGGGAAGCACTGTATTAGATTCAAAGTTTGCTTTGCTAATAGTTCAGAATTAAATCATGATTGCGCTTTCAGTTATGTAGGTCAACCATGGTTTAGATCTCTGTTACCTGCTTCCATTTTCTCTCTGCTCAATCAGTCATGATTTAGTTACAGTTTTATTTTTATGATGTTGGGCTCTCCTGAGGCAGTTATAAGTATGTCTTCTCAAATCTTTGTTGATGTGATTTGCAAACCTATTTCAGAATGTGTTTCTATGACTTCTAAGGCTTTTATGACATCATTTAAGAGCATAGGAAATTGCTCTACATTTTTGTAAAATAATCTTTTTTCCTTTCAATAAATTTGGTTAAATGAGATTTTGAGAATCTTGCTCTCTGGTTATAAGCAGCTGCTAAATGTGTAAATTCTTCTGTATATTGCAGAATTAGTCACTGTCATTCATATAATAATGATTTTGGCAGTTTGCAACCTTTAATGCCAATGGGAACTCCCAGTTTGTTGTCTTGCTGGGTGAGTCTATAGGACATTTGGGATATTGGTTCTGTATAGATCAGGGGTTCCCAACCGGGAGTGCTTGAACCCCTTAGGGGTGCAAGATGATATTCCAGGGGGTGCGAAAACTTGGGTTTTCAAAATTATAGCGTATATGCATAATTTGTTGCCGTTATTTCGATCTTTTGTAAGGGGTGTAAGAATATATCAGAAGTGTTCTAGGGGTGCTGGGTATAGAAAAGGTTGGGAACTGCTGGTATAGATGCTGCCGTTTCCTAGTGCAATGATTTGAGACATCCAGTTTAAACTGGAGCAGCAGGCTTCCTGCAGTGCTTCCGGCAATCCTTAAAGTCAAGGACATGTTATCTTGTCGGGGCTTGTTATTTCAACTCGGAAAGCAAAGAAACAAAACAAAAATGCAAATCAAAATATAATTGAAGCAGTACGCATTTAATATTTTCTCCTTCTGCATCACTGAATATTACAGTTCAATAGAAGGTTTTTGGAAGGCTCACATAATGCCTTGGGAACTATAGTGGTATGCCATTGTTATTCAGAGTCACTGAATTCTGTTTTGCCTCTAACATCCAGTTGTCAAACTGAGACTTCATAAGTATACAATTACTTCAATAGCTACAAAAAGGAATGATGGAATTACTGAAAATTTGGCTATTGTCCAAACTTGAGTATTTATCGTTTTTAATTTGGGCTTCATTCCTGTAGCCCAGGATTTTTAAGCTGGAGCCACCTTAGAGAAATCCTCATTAGAGGAAGAGAGGTAGGATTGGGCAACTTGAGTACTAAGAGAAACCTATTTCCTAAAGTGTTAGACTGAACCAGAAGCAAAAACAGTATTTTCTTGGCTTTTTGAGCCTGTAATTTAAGCATCTAAACTAGAAGAATTCTTTTGATTTCCGAGCCCAGGAGTTCAGTGTGATTGCGATGTTTCAGAGTAACATACAGAATGGTGAAGAACTGAAAGACTTTAAAGATAGGCATCTTGGGAGGGTTACTCGGGAGATGCACACTTTTTCCCTAAGGTGTACTAGGCTTTATGGAGCTAAGGATCCCCAGAGGAACGTGATTGGAGTTCAGTGTTGATTTTTCTTCATCTACATCTTGAGAATTGCTAAGGACATTTGTGTGTGCTTGTCTTTGTCTCCAGTTCCTGCCTCTTCTCTTTGATTCCTGAACATCTGTCTACCTGGAATATTGTCTCTTCCTTTGGATCTCGGGAATATTTTTATTGTTTGGGCTCTTAGGCTGACTTCTAGCTATTTTTTGCTGATGTCTCCCATTGTTGTGTCTCCTTTTATCTGACACTGGCTCATCAAACAACACACTTGGCTTGCGGCTCTTGGATGGGAGATTATAATATGTGCTTTCATTTGATTTGAAAATATCCATTTTATAGTTTGTTTTCTAGCAACTGTCATCCGCATTCAGAATGACTAAGCTAATAAATATGATTAAACAGATCTTAATTGTGCTTTATTTAGATGCCAATGAGGCCTGTGCCGAGTTACATTCAAAGGCCAGATTATGCAGATCATCCTTTAGGTAATTATAGGCATAGTACAACTTTCATTTGTTGAGCCTGTGATTAATTTAAACTGTGTTAACTATTTCTTTTTCAGAATGGGTATGTCTATAAAACATTTGGATGTATGCTGCAGGTTAAGTGACCAGTTGCATTAGAAAAATAACAAAAAAAAATTCAAACAGAAGTTATTTTTGAATTTCACAAACAAGCATTAGCCATTCTTTGTTGGGTAACACACATTTGGTCACACTATTTCACTAGATAACTCTGTCATATGTTTGAGAAGAAGTAGGGGAAGTTCAAGTAAGAAGACGTGTCATATCCAGTGTTTCTTTGTTTTGCTCCTGTCTTTACTTTTATTAACATCCCTTATCCTTTAAAATTATTTCAGATATAATTGCAGAATTTATATGCAAAACCTACCATTCTGGAATGGAACATTCTGGTACATTTCAACACCAGAGCATTCTAATTTTTCATCAGGATCCAAGCTGATCCAGCCATATATAAGAGATCAGCACTGCCCAACCAGCTTGGACTCCTAGGCCATCTAGTTCAGTAGTCTGTTCTCACAATGGCCAGCCAATTGCACAGGAAAGCTTTCTAGAGTCTTCCAGTAGACAGCCTTCAGAGGCACTTATATTACCATCAAGCTAATAACCATTAATCCCAACTCTTTGGAAACCAGCTGGTAGCTAGGATTACATTTTGTGGTAGTGAACTTGAAAGCCGAATTATTTATTGTGTAAAAAAGAATTCATTTCAGTCCTGATTCTTTTAAGATTCAGTTTTAATGGGTGACTTCTGGTTCTTTTGGGAGGGAGAAAATACATTCTCCCTGTCCTGTATATCTACACCGTAGGTCAGTGATGGCGAACCTTTTAGAGACCAAGTGCCCAAACTGCAACCCAAAACCCACTTATGCATCGTCAGGTGCCGGGTGGGTGTGACCCATTGGGTGAGTGTGGCCCATTGGGTGGGCGTGGCTGCAGTGGTAACGACAGACTGGGTGGGACTAAAAAGTTCAATCAATCAATTCCAACTTTGCAAGAGCTTTTTTTTTCCCGTGAGAAGTTGAAATTGACTGATTGATTGAACCTTTTTTTTTGTACACGGTGGCGGAGGCCTAAAGAGAAAAGGTTTTATAAAACCCAGCTGAAGGCCTAGGACTGGGGCGACGGTGCGTGCCCACAGAGAGGGCTCTGATGCCGCCTCTGGCACCTGTGCCATAGGTTCGCCATCACTGCCGTAGGTAATTTGTACACCTCACTCATGCCCTTTCTCATTTGCCTCCTTTCTAAAGGAAAAAGGTTCAAATATTGCAACCTCTCCTCACGGGGAAGCTGCTCCACCCCCTTCATTATCTTCCTCTGAACCTTCTTTAGTTACACCATATTATTTTTAAAGTGTGGTGCCCAGAACTGCACACATTATTCCAGATGTGCTCACATCATTGATTTATATTAACCATTGACTTGTTTTGTAAATGCTGTGGTAGTTTACTGAAAGTAAATCTTCTATAGCTTTTACATGTAACCAACATGCATTTGTTTCTAAAATTTATTGTGAATAGATATCATTTCCTAGTATAATATAATAGTTGAAATCTGGGGCTGGGATAAACCAGATTTTAAATTCCTACTGAACCACAAATTCCCTAGTGATTTTTGAACAATCATCTCTCAGTTCATTAGGTGTCATTGTTGGGATAAAACAAGAGGGCAGCTTTTATAAGTTTTCTAACCTTGAGCTTTCTGGAGGAAACACGGGAGATCAATGTATTAGTTATTATAATACTGATAATTTTTCCTTTTAGGTATGTCTGAGTCAGAACAGGCCCTTAAAGGAACATCTCAGATAAAGATCCTTTCTTCAGAAGATATAGAAGGGATGCGAGTTGTGTGTAGGGTAAGTTTATACTGCACAACATTGGTTAAAATGAAGTAGAATCTAACAAGAAAGGTCTTTGCGTGCTTACTTTGAAAATGTCTTTACATAACGATATTTATTCCATGGAAAATGTTTGTCATTTGAATAATTTCTGTTCCTTTATTCTGCAGCTTGCTAGAGAAGTCTTAGATGTTGCTGCCATGATGGTGAAGCCAGGTGTAACCACTGAAGAAATAGATCATGCTGTTCATTTAGTAAGGATACTTCTTCAATGAGGTTCTGCTTTTCATTATCTTAAAGCTTAGATACTGTGTTTAATTAAAAAAAACAGCTTGCTAATGTCCTGCATAGTTAGGAGTGGTATATAACAGTGGTGGCAAACCTATGGCACGGGTGCCAGAGGCGGCACTCAGAGCCCTCTCTGTGGGCACACGCGCCATCGCCCCAGTCCTAGGCCTTCAGCTGGGTTTTATAAAACCTTTTCGCTTTAGGCCTCCGTCGCTGTGTGCAAAAAAGAAAAAAAGGTTCAATCAGTCAATTTCAACTTCTTGCGGGGAAAAAAAAGATCTTGCAAAGTTGGAATTGATTGATTGAACTTTTTAGTCCCACCCAGTCTGCTGTTACCACCCCAGCCACGCCCACCCAATGGGCTACGCCCCCCAATTGGCCACACCCAGCCAATGAGCCACACCCACCTGGCACGCGACGATGCATAAGTGGGTTTTGCGTTGCAGTTTGGGCACTCGGACTCTAAAAGGTTCGCCATCACTGGTATATAACATTAGTCCATAGTCCTCAATATTGCACCTGTAGCACCAGTGCATTCCTGACACTTTTCTGCAAACCTGCCAGACTCTGTTCTACCTGACTTCAATTTTTCCCTAATAATTATAAATAGAAATTGGAAGCCGATATGCTGTCGGGCATCGCATGTATTTCAAAAATCCTATTGGGGTCCCAAATAGATCCTTGTTCCAGGGAGAGATTAATTGTTTAATCCTATATAGTTGAATTTAGTCCATCTTTCAGAAATTATGCTTGCTTAAACCTCCTGCATTTATTAAAATTACACTTTGAAATATTTTTGAGTGAAAAGCTTATTTTAAATTCTTTTCAGGCATGCATTGCCAGAAATTGCTACCCATCTCCACTGAATTATTATAATTTTCCTAAGTCTTGCTGTACATCAGTAAACGAAGTCATCTGCCATGGCATTCCAGACAGGCGACGCTTACAAGAGGGTGATATTGTTAATGGTAAGAAATGTAAAATAAATATTTTCATAGGAAATAGGATTTGGGAAGGATATCGCCATTGGAGAGAGTATCTATGTAAACATCTATCTCACAATGATATCCTTCCAAAATATTAGTTTTGTTTACCAAACTCCAAAACATATACAGGGAAGCTTACTGGTCATAGTGCATTCATCTCCTACTTGGCTAATTGTGTACAGATGCAACTGATTAAATTCTTTTTGTTTCTTTTCTACGACTTTTACATTTGTTCAGAATTAAAGCCATATACCTTATAGCAGCTCCTTTCTAAAAATTTTCTCTGCATCTTCCAACTAACTCTCTCTTTTGGTTGTCAAGCTTTTTGAGAGGAGCCTGAAAATTATTGTTTTCAAGCATGATTCAGATGGCGTTCTCCTTAGGAGGATTTATTGAGATGAAAAGAATAGAGAGGTACAGGAATTTCAAACAAACTATTTCCAATTTACATTCAGTTTATCTCTGTGTAGTTCACGACAGAGACTGTCTCATTTTGTTTTTCCTGTGAACTGGCAAAGAAGCAAGAATGGGAGTGCTGAGAATGGGAGTTTTGCAAACAGTTGTATACATAAGAGACCCTTGAATGTTTATCAGTCTGAAAAACAATTCTTGCATTGCCATAGCAGATTGTAAATTATATTTACATGCTGATGTTATGGGTATTTCTTCAGATGCCTTTTGGTAATCACCATGAGAAACTTTCAGTCTGTACTAACAGGACCTTTCTATTTTTCATTTCCGACCATTCGACTCTAAACAGAGAAATTGGGGGGGGGGGCTTGATTATAATGTTCTTGGTATAGCCATTTATATTTTCAACTTATTTTTCAATATTCATATGCCATGCACTCTGAAAGTCTGCTGAACCAAGTGTGAGCATCAACTGTCAACTTGTTGCACTTTGGACTAGTTTTTGTTTTGTCTTCAAAAGCAGCCCAGATAAAACACATTACTTTGTCTCAACTGTGAGATGGTAAGGACAGAAATAACAGAAAGAAACCAGAGCATCCTTTTGCAGAAATGTTTGCATTTGATTCTCAGATGTAGCTGGGCAAAGGTTTTCCTTGGCCCAATCTCTATCTGATGTTTTAGGATGAGTTTTCAGTCCAGGAAACCCAAGATTTCAGATAAAATATTTCAGAGGCGTTATAACCATATCAGATACTAAATATGAAATTATACTGGCTCTAGATTTTTAAGAAGATTTTTAAGAAGAGACTAGACTGTCACTTCTCTGAAATGGTATAGATTCTCCTGCTTGAGCAGGGGGCTGGACTAGAAGACCTCCATGATCCCTTCCAGATTCTACTCTACTCTACTCTACTCTACTCTACTCTACTCTACTCTACTCTACTCTACTCTACTCTACTCTACTCTACTCTGATAATTTTTGAATAAACAATAACTTTGTCTTGCTGAGATTTCATCTGAATCTTAATATTGTTTCTCTTTCTAGAGCCTAGCAGTCACCAGACATTATATAGCTGAGTATCATCTGTATGTTGGTGATATCTTGCCTCAAGACTGTTGGTTTATCTTTCTTAATGGTTTCATGTAGATATTAAATAAAATAGGAGAAAAAGAGCTGAATCCTGAGGCAGGCACACAATGCTTTCTGATTTGTGATGTGGTTTTTATTTTTGATTATAATCTTGTTATGACTCCAAAAACAGAATATGGAAATTGCAGTGTTCCTGTTGTTTCTTGTAGTGGACATTACTGTTTATCGTAATGGTTATCATGGGGATCTCAATGAGACATTTTATATTGGAGAGGTTGATGAGGGTGCAAAACGATTAGTTCAGACAACATATGAATGCCTAATGCAAGCAATTGATGCAGGTAAGAGCTTTTTGAAACCTGTGACTTTCATGACTTACTTCCTTTTTACACATTTCAGACAGAAGATCAGTTATATTGAGTTTTGCCTCCCTTCAGGAGTCGGTATCAATCAACATACTGCACTGTTCCAAATTGCTGTAATTTTATTCCATTTGGTGGGGATGACTGGATTATTCAAAATGATTAATTTTAATAGTGCAATAAATGGCTTAAATAAAGTTTTATAAATTGATCATTTTCAGAAGCAATAGCTAAACATTAATGGAATGTCAAGTTTAGAATTCTTTGCTGAATATTGGACAGTTGCAGTTTATCTTGTAAATTTGTGTCCTCGCATAATATTGGTGACAAAAGTGTTTTGAGGCAGATAGTGAAAATGAATTAATGTAACATAATGAAACTTAATCATCTCTCTAAGCATCCTAAACTTGTAAAATGGCTATTTACTGGAGGCAGTTCAAATTCTCCAAAGTCCAGACAGTGAGCTTGCATAACAAAAGAATAAATTAAACTGATTATCAAAATTCTTCCCCTGGAGATTTAGCATTTTCAGGGGAAACTAATACTCATACTTAAATAGCATAGAAAGGTTTTCTTTTATGTTGCCCAAGGAATGGTTAAATGGCTGGTTGTTTTTATTGAAAATCCATAGTGAACTATTACACAAATAACACTTTTCTCAACAGTTAAACCCTGGAGAAACCCAGAGGAAATTTTCTTCTCTTAAAGCACAAATATATTACTTGTGGTAATTAAAAGAGAAAGAGTTAAAAATATTAAGATTTTTAAGAGGCATACAAAAGAGAGTGTATGCTTGCCATGATGTTGGCTTGCCTTCCCTAAATATTATGACTTTGTAGCTCTTCCCTTTTCTTGCCTATAAGAATCACAGTGGTTTACAAGACAAGACACTGTTAAAACACTGTTCACTAAAACACGCATATTAAAATAGGATTCTATCATGCTAAGCTATAAACAACAACTGGGTTCCTGTGTCACCTTAAGCCACAGGCCGAACCTGGCCAGAGGTCCATGTTTTCAGCATTTGTCACTTGGGGGGCCAAGCAGATGCCTTCAGGAGGGTCACAAACATAGAAGGGGAATGATAACCCTTTTCAGGAGTTGCTCCCTCCTATTCGGCAAATGATGCTGTTCATGATTTCAGAGGTAATATAACAGCCATCAAGTCCAATAGCTGTTTATAGCCTGATCCTCCATGAATGTATCCTTTACTAAAATTAAGCTGGTGGTTGCCACCCTATTTTAATACAGCCATCCCACAAGCAATGCAAACTGAATTATGCCTTAGTTGTAGCTATGGAACTAGTATCTGAAAAAATAGAAATGATACTGTCTTTGGAGCCTGGGCAGCTAGTAAGCTTGTTCTCCCCTAGAGTATTCTGTTCAAATGTTCTGTGTGTCCAAATTTTAAACCTTTACATTTGAAAGTACTTGTTCAGAGACTTACTTCCTTTTCTTTATTTTTTTCTTGTCATAAATTCTGAGCTCTTGTGTGATTCTTTGAGGGAGAACGTGCACATGTGTGAAAGAAGAGAATATGTGTATAAATACTGACCTTTATTTTCATTGCGATGTCTAAGCCTATGCATTGCTTTGCAGTAAAGCCTGGTGTACGGTATCGAGAATTGGGAAATATTATACAGAAACACGCTCAAGCCAATGGATTTTCAGTAGTTCGGAGCTACTGTGGGCATGGGATTCATAAGCTTTTCCACACTGCTCCCAATGTGCCACATTATGCCAGTAAGTATAAGCAATACCTGCTGTTACTAGCTGTGCTGCTAGTAATCAGTAAACCTTATCATATCCTATGTTTCTATAGCTGCTGACCTTAAAAGACAGTGAAGCTGGTCTTGGAAAAGACATTCACATATCTGCATCTCAGTCTTTAGGAGCATCTTAAAATGGGTTGGGAAGCAGACACGCTTATTGTGTAATCAGAATACTGTGGTCAGCACCTTAATTGGCCGAAACAGTTAGTATTATTGTGGATATATTCTTTAAGGGTAGCTCCACAAACAATATATTTTAGTAATCTGAACAATTCATCCTGCTATCCCATTCTTTCCTAGTCAGCCTGTCTGCCTGCTTCCTTTCTCGCATCCTCTAGTCTAGTTAATCATTCAGATTGATTGATGGAAGTGTTTCTCAGTAGCTGTGGAGAGCGATGGATAGTAAAATGAGATTGCATGGCTATCCTGTGGTAAATCTTACCACAAGACATGATGTCAGGTGCCGGTGAAGGATTTTATACTCATTTCTTTGGTAAGTGGTATTATTATATCATTTGTATGAGATGAGTAACTACATAAATCATAACTAATTAAATAAAATACCTAGCATACACATAAGCGAATGTCTACTATCTTTGTGGCAACTGTAAATACATTATGAAGTTATATTGATTTTATTGAAAATGAAATAAAATTTTCCCACATTTGCTACAGATAGAATCATGGCTTTTTTAGGCAACCTATAGTTAGTGGTAAGATTGTTAACATAGTCCAGAGTGAGATGTGGATATATCTCATACCTTATCTATGTTCTTTCCTTAAAGTAGGGGGACAATTCATGAAACAATGGTTAATTGCTTTTAAAAGGACCAGGCTAATGCTATATCTTGACATTTTTGGAACCTGCTAAATATTTGCCTTAGTCTGATGTAGATTCTTGTTCATTTCCTCACCTGCACAAAGAAGGTAGCTTTTGTGGCAAGTCTTTCCTCTGTCAACTCTGCATGAAATTGTTCCATGCAGATGGAAATCTCTTAATTTTATAAGTGGAATAGCTTTTATAGAAAGTTTTAAACACTAATTATTAAATTGTGGGGTTATTTATCTCGTCCCTACTCTTTTCAAATACATATATTTTAGCAAGTATATGCATTCACTTACATGTGTATTCTAGGTATTTTATTTAATTAGTTATATGATTTATGTAGTCATTTATCTCATACAAGGGACTCTGTGCATCTTACAAGAAGAATTAAAAAACAGAAAAACCCTTGACATAACCCCACTTACCAAAGAAATGAGCACATTAACGATAGCATGTATACATTTATTTAGGTGGAGAGGAAATCACTAGAATTGATTTAAGTTAGGATTGGCAGCTGCAGGTAGGAAAATGGGGATTGCAAAGGATTTTTGTCAATTCATTTTTTCTATCTACTTTTTCTTTTGGGTGAATTATTTTATACTGGATCCAGCTTTCAATACCTCTATTCATGTATAGTAAATTAAAGAAAATAAAAGGAAGAGGTTTTTTTTTAACTGTGTACAAGTACTGTATCACTGGGGTACTTTAGCATTGTCTTGTATTTTATTCCTGTCTTGTCTCTGAGAATTAATCATTTCCCGATAACATTTTATTGTGCTTCCCAGAAAATAAGGCTGTTGGAGTAATGAAGCCTGGTCATGCATTTACGATAGAACCAATGATCTGTGAAGGTAATATGTTGTTATGAAGCTAAGGAATTCTGTTTCTAACTAGAAATTTCTTGAAATTAATTTGGGAGCTAAATGCATGAACATTTCCTAGTCACTGGTGAGCTGCTATCTTGTAAGCAAAGTGTATTCCAACTGTTGAGCAGAAATCTTGCTGCATATTTTTGCATAGTTACATCTTTTCTTGAAGGTACAAAAGATTGTATTCAGGATTGTTTTTATGTTATGCCTAAACTATCTTACAGTCTCTGTAAGTTCATACTAATTTCTAAGAAATCCACATTAACAATTTGCTTTTTAAAAATCTGCATAATTGAATTATTAAATATACTTTTGAGTTTCATGTATGTAAATAAAATTATAAGAGGTCATCATTTAAAAGAGTTAAGAGGACCTCCCTTTTTTTAAAAAAAAAAAAAAGTCTTGCACAAACTGGCATATATTGGATCCTTTTGCATATTTTTTCATAGAGATATTTGTTAAAATATATAAAAAACTGAGTAATAAGAATGCAATGAAGCAGAGATAGTAAGGGTATGGAGCCTGTAAATGGTGTATATTACTAGGATAATACCCAGAGTAGAATATGTAAATATAGCAAAACTATTCTAAAGATCAGTGAACTGGGAAATGAGTTCTTCCTTGTGCTTATTAAAATAAACCTTGGGGCTGGGAAAAGCATGAGCATTAGCTAAAAGATCAACCTGTCTAAAAGGTTATCTTCTCTGGGGAATTGATTGAAAAGTCGCTTCTGAACAGCACCAATAAATTTTCTTATGTTGAGACCATTCTTAGAGAGTGGGGAACAATTGCCTCCCCAAATAGAGGAGGAGGAGGGGGCCATGTATTTGCTTTTATCCAACATGATTGTAGGGGAGAATATAGTAGGATTATCGACTTTAATATACTTCTTCCAGAGATCTTGTTTAATTAAAAGCAGGCCAAAATGTTTCTATGTATAAGCTATACAGTATGCCTAAATAAAAAGCTGAAGTTTTTCTTTTTCTTTTTTTTAAAAAAAGAACAATGGATGAAGCTATCCCAAAGGTGCTTTTCCAAAAGACAACTGGACTTGTTTTTTTCTTTGAAAACGTTTTGCTTCTCATCCAAGAAGCTGCTTCTTCAACTGAAGAAGCTTCTTGGATGTAAAGTGAAATGTTTTCAAAGCAAAAACCTTGTGGAGAAAGCACCTTTTTGGACAACCATGACTGGATGTTTGAGAATCTCCTTAGACCGTTGAAGAAGCTGCGTCTGTTGTATTATGTTCATTCTCTGTGCTGAATCTGTTTATGTTGTCGTCCTTAGGTGGCTGGCAAGACGAAACCTGGCCCGATGGTTGGACAGCTGTTACCCGAGATGGCAAGCGGTCTGCTCAGTTTGAGCACACACTCCTGGTCACAGATACTGGGTGTGACATCTTAACCCGGCGGCTGGATAGCATTCGTCCTCACTTCATGACCCAGTGCTAGTAAAAGCCACGTGAAGAGCTTGAAATGAGCATTTGTACTATGCATTTTACTAATGTACAGGATGAAAGGGGGATTTTATCACCTGTTTTCTTGTCATTGCCTATAGGTAAGAGAAATGCAAATCTGCATCGTACAACTTGGAAGAATCTGATGCAGAGGACCCCAACACTGTTTGAACTTTTTAAAAGAATTTCCAAGTAGCACCCCTTTGTTTTCCTTTCCATCCACCAAAAGAAAACCACAGCAAAAACAAAAACAAAAAAAAAGCTGGGATTCAGATGATTTTGTCACTGCTATAGTTGTCAGCTGGTGTACCTAAGACAACATTTTCATGGTGAATGTGAGAGCCTACCTTAGGTTTTGAACTTTTCTTGTTCCAAAGGCAATCCCTGCTTAGCTTGTGCTGCAAAGGCAGTTTTAAACAGGCTAGGCTTTCATCTGTTTACAACTCAGAGGTGGCATTATATACTACAAAAATGAAACTAGTACTGTGTACTAGTCCCTCTAGAACCTTGTCTGCCTTTCCTTCTACCATTTTGGTTGCCTCCGTTGTAATTGTACATAGAAGTACAATAACTGCTAGTTAAGTGAAGAGAGTTTGTTTGCCTTTGCCCTGTAAAAAACCGTAAAGTGAGGCAGGGAGGCCAAAATTACTGAGATCCTGCCTGGATTGAGCTTTTACCAAATTACAGCTTTAAGATGGGTAGCACTTGATAGCCAATAAGGGTCTAAAATTTCACTAGTACAAAGCTGTTATTCCAATTGAAATAGAAAAAAAAATACAAAGAATTCCTGTCCACCATGTATATTACATTTGTGACTTTCTGTGACTTCATTGCCATGATCAAATGTTTGTCCAATGTAGGGCTCACTTGGGATTGATATGATTTCATCACAGTAAATGATACTTTGGGATTGTGACATGCAGCTGTCAGGAACTGGATCAGAAGTGGTTACTTTTTAGTCCATAACAACTGAAATCAGCTTCACTGCAGATTAAAGAGGAAAACTTTTGCCAGTGTAATGAGAACTGAGCCACAGACAGGAAAGTAAGATATAATGCTGCATGTTTCCCACGGCACATTTTATCACGTAATTATTTTTCTGAATTGTTCTTAGGCATTTGACAAAGCAGGTGCTGTTACAACTGGCCAATGTAAAGGAAGCTATTGTAGTAAAGATAATGCCCTTGAAATGTGCAAGATTTGGGCAGCCCTGGAAATCATTAATCTTTCCTCAAAAGTCCTTAGACCAACAACCAAGGTGACGGTGTGGTAATGTCCCCATATGCTCTATATGAGTTGGTTATACAGATTTACCGTGTCAGGGAGGCTTAATTTTGTTGGCCCGTGGCTGTTTCCATCTAGCTTTGTGTTCTGTAATGAGAATGATTTTTCAACCACATTTTTTATTCTGGTGCCTACTTCGTCCATAGTGTTGAAGTACAGCAATGGAAATGAAGACAAATAAAAGTCATAAAATCATGGGCATAATATACTCATTTCTGCTCTGTGTTAGTTGTAAAATCATTGTAAGCTGTTTAAAATGATCCCGGCTTCCATCAGCAGTATCTGACTTTATTGTTCTTTGGAAGTTGAAGACAGGTGTGGCAAAAAAAGGTAACTTATTTATTGAAAGCAGATTAGAAAACATTCGATCTTTTTTGTGTGAGTGAAAGAAGTGCAGTTGTGACAGGGCAGCTAAATGAAAGTGCTATTGTTGCTCTGAGAATCATGCTTTGCTTATTCTTTAGGAAAAGACATTTGTGGGGGACAGAAATCTTTAAAAAGGCTGACTCTAGAAGTGAATATAGCAAAGGGCGCATAGATAGAAATGTAACATTGGTTAATAAACATTTGGCAAAAATATGCTCATACAGAAGACTGCTGACATGTCCGGACTCCTGGAATTTCATGGCTTTTAAAAGAAAGGTGAAGATCAGTGTACCTAAGTTGAGCATTGCAAAGATCCAACAGGATAAAATCTCCAGAAAATGGACCTGAATGATGTGGCAGAACATTGAGGTTCCTGCATCATAAGGAAGGAAACCAGCAATCAAGAGACTAGGCCAAGAAAGTCAAATGGTGTCTTTGACCAGTGGGTAGAACAGAAAAGCCACCAAGTTCAGATAGGGAACAACAGCAGCAGAGAAAATGTGCCAGATGAGGAAAGATGTCAGTCATGTACCAGTTGCATTTTTGCTTACAGAACCAAATTTTAGATGTACTTTAACACTGACTTCTGATTTTGGCTTTATTTTGGCTAGATTCATATATTGAGTTGCATAAACCTTAGCTGGATAAGATATAAACCATGATTTACAAGGCCTTGGTTGGTTTTATACAACACCCTTAAGGCTAAAAAAACCAAACTACATTATGGCTTGATATGATAGTTGAACTCCATATTGCCTTTACCAAAAGAGCTTCTAATTAGAACCATGTATTGTATGCCAATTGAGTGCTATATTTACTGCACCACGTGAAGTAACCTGGGTTCCCATGATAGTCCATAGTGTGTTCCTTTTCATTCCTGATTTTTTTTTCCAGCAACAACTTGAAGCACATTAAATACCAAGACATTTTTAGACAACAAATGATAGCTGCTCATGGACAATACTATAGTAACTTTGCTGCCTCAGATATAAAAATTAGCCTCACTGGGTCAGAGTATTATAAACTTTATCCAATGACCTAAAATAGTTGGCACTTGCTCTGAAGTACATTTCTTGTCACTGCACAATGGAGGAGATTGAGAAAGTTCATCTGGTCTAAAGGTTGAAATGCAGGTTAATTTTACTGCACCAGTCTCTTGTAGTTTTTCTATTCACATCCATCTTTTACCAGTTACTAGTTATGCTAACGGAGATGAACCTTTTCTCTAGGTAAGAAGCCTTAGGTTCCAACTTCTACTTAGAAGACATGGACCTAGCCCTTTCCTACCAAATTCCCTTTTAGGCAACCAGAAAGATTGTTTGCAATAAAACCAATCACCATTATCTCAGCTGGTTTGTGAGAATGCCCCCATGACATTTTCAAAACTTCAAACATGTTTAACATTCCAGAAAAATAAGGAATCTGAACTGTACCCTACATGTCAAAAAAATTCCACATCTGAAATTACTGTGGAGCAGTAGATTTAACAAGAAAGGTGAAACCCAGTTCTAGTTAGCAAAAATGGTTTCCTTTGTAATCATAGAGAAACATTTCTCCAGCATGACGAATGGAGAATCCACAGATGGGTTGATCTTGCCTTTCTGCCCTAGAGACTAAGTCAATCAACCTTTGCCACGCTTCTTCCTCTGGCTAGGAATCCCCAATCACGACTTAGTCTTAGCCCAAGAGAGACATGAAGATTGGCTTTTGTTTCTAGCAGACAAAACTGTTGGATTTGCACAGGTTGTACCTTTCCCTTCCCTTCCCTGCGCTGATATTAGCGCTTCGTTTCAAACTGCTGAGACTAAGAGCGGTTTTGCAGGCTTCAGCTGAAGCCTCGAACTATTTATAACTTCTCCATCATAGCTTTTAAAATCATCTTGGTGATGTCTCAGGCCCTGGAACTGTCTTATGTCATAGGTATATCCAGAAATTATGTGAATTGTGGTCCCACACATTGGCCATTGGGAAGGCTGGAATGGAATATATATTTTGAGCAAATATCAGTGAAATATATGAGTATGGGGAATCTAATCTAAATCAATTGGCAGGACTTTTTTGCTTATTGTTACTCCCCCCCCCCAAATGAATAAAAGTTATAATAGGTCTAACTTGGAGCTGAGTTATTTACTCATAGGGTTAAAATTGATCATGGAAACCACAAACAGCCAATTCATGCATTCCATGGTTAAAGTTAAGACTTTTTTTTTTTTTTTTGCTTGACTTCCATTATCTCTACTGAAACAAACCAGAACTGCAACAGAATCCCTGAATGGGTATATGCTATTGGGTAAATCTGAAAGGGAAAAAAAAAAACTTCACACATATATCCTTATAAGGTAATGCCAAGTTTTAATCGTGATTCTTTTTCCAAGGGGAGAAATACCCTAAACTAATTATTACTGGAAGTATCAAAAGAAAAATAGTTCCTGACATTAAGTAAACCTACAGTTTAATCTACATTTTGATATTTCTATTCACTAAGATGGAAAAAGAGTTATATTGTATACAATATTTAAAAAAGCAGCTGCTGTGTGCTATTTCAATGTTTTTAGCTGCAGAGGCAGGTTCCGACTTGATTATTACAATTATTCCAAAAAGTGTGTTGAAAAGTTTGAACATTATTTCTTCAGATCTTTTAAAGTTTCAGAACAGTTCGGATGCTGTAAAGAGGGAAGAAAAACAATTTCAAACTGTGTAGTTACACTGTATCATAAAAATAAGATTTCTTATTGTATTTACAAGAGACGTAAAAAGATTTTTCCCTAAATTATGCAAGACGTGGCTTATAGTCATTAAGAAGACAATCTTTTACAAACAGAGAAAATTGTTTTTTCTGGTAAATAAGACATTTAAGAAAATTAAATTATTGGAGGTAAATAGAGAAGTATTTTGTATTCTAAACTTAAAATACCTTAAAGGGAAATCATGCTAACATAAATCAAAGATTTGTTTGGTTTGCATACCAATCTCAGCAGTTTAAACAGTTTTCCCCCCTTTTCCTTCCTACTCTTTTATCCCTTTTCCAGTTTTTATTTCATCATTTCCAGTGAAAGGAAAGGAAGAGAGAGGTTGATACTGTATGGCACCAACTGGAGGAGTTTTGTGTACCATTTTTATCAATATGTTTTAGAAGATCATCTTAACTTAGTCATATTTTCAGATAACTAACAGTATGTTGTAGCCCTCCATGCGTTCAGCAACTCTTTTCCCATCAAGTGCAACTGAACAGCCGAATTAATGTGTTTTTTTCTGTAACTCACCCTTTGCCCCCTCTCTATCTTTTTGAGTTTCCGTCTTTCTACCCTCTTCCCAAGTAAGATTTCAAGGAAAAGGCAGAACATTTAAATTTAAAATGAAGATTCTGATCATTTACTCCTCTCTGAGGCATCAGGCTACAGTTTTATGGCCTTTGGGGAAGAAAAACTGTATAGCACAAGCTGTCTTTTCTATAGACAAAGATGCCTTTAACATCTTGCCGAAGCAGATGTGCTCCCACATCAGAAGAAAACAAGAAATTTTAAATGGATCTACTCAAAACCTTAGAAAATACCCCGGCACTCAAACTGGCATATTGATATCGTTTCCCGTTCAAAGGGAGTTGATCCAAGCAACGTGAGATGGTTAAAAAAAAAGTATAAAAAGCCAAGCCACTATCAATAAACAACAAAGCAAAACAGAAAAAGGACACCAGTTGTACAGGTTACAATACTAAATGGTAAATCTTTGGCCTACCCAACTAAAAGTAAGACCCATTCTTTAGTAGGGTTTATTTCTAAAAAACCCTGTATAAAATTGTGTTATAAACTTAATATGCAGCAAAACATTTACCTCTTTCCAGCATGCATAAGTTCAAAGGCTTCATTAATTTGCTCAAAAGGTAGAGTATGGGTCACAAATTCATCCACTTTTATTTTTTTGGACATGTATTCATCTACCAACTTTGGTATGCTGTCCACGCTTTTCCAACCTGACATGAAATAAAATGATTACTTAATGCAGAGTCAGCACAGGATAAAATACTGTTCAACATAATTACAGCAGTATCAGGTAACACTTCAAAAGTTACAAAAATCAATCTTAAAATCCAAAACGGAGATCTTCAACCACTGTCAGCCTATAATACAACTAAAATGGTAATCAAGTCTCTAATA